AAAGGCAATCCTGCGGTCGTCGCCCAGCAGGAGGGATGTGATGCCGCACCGGCATTGGCACCAGGCTGTCTGCCTCGAGAGGGAGACCAGCCGTGTCGGGGCGTTCTCGTGTATATAATCAGGTACGACCGCGGAGAGAGAGTAGGGTCTCCTCGCGCGCGAGAGACGAGGTGCGTGGTGTATATGGAAGGGCGGAGGGTGAGGAGGTGAGAGGATAAGGAGGGACCCGGGCACCGCGGCGATGGTCAGGGGCCGGCCCGATGATGGTTTGTGCTGTTGCGTGTAAAAATAGAAAAGGCAACCCGGGAACCCGTCCAACTGCATATTATCATCGGAATGCGCAGCCCTGTGACCGGCCGATGATGCTGGAACGCACGTGTGTGTTTCAGGCCGTTTATTCTGCCACCCCTCCCCCTCTCTTCTCATCTCCTCTCTTTTCTTTCATTCTATACCGGAGATCCTGCGGCGGACCTGAGCGCAGGAATGTCGAAAGTATAAATTGGGATCGGAAAATAGTAGAGATTAATCGGCAAGCCGGTACAATGTGAACCTGCAACCAATTCCGGGCACGAAATATGTATTTTTTGATCGAGAGTTTCTTAAAGCACGAAATTTAAGGATAAATTTAAAGCATTCCAAGTTTCGAAATCAATATTGGGTGCAGTCTTTAAATTAAATAGAATTTAAGATTAAAATTTGAACCATTTTGATACGATTTATAAATAAAAGATATATAGATAGCATGTCATTTAAGATAAAAATTAGTCGTAATTAATTTAAAGAGTAGGAACTTTTCTCTACATATTTATGAAATTGTACATTGACATATAATTGAAGAAAATAACGCAGAATGCAGATGCAGATACTGAATAGGAAAATTTTCTTTGCACATTTTTCACGACATTACAGAAACAAAACATTATAATAATAAAAGTCGCGATTAAGATCTAGAAAATTATAATGTATATTTAAGGTAAGATATATATTTTTTTAGTAGGTAGACATTTTGACAGAAAGTATCTTCTCGTGCGTAATTTTCCGGAAAATTGTGTAGCATGAATGCCGTTCATGGCTCATCGATTCATTCAGCGTGTCTCGTTCATCCGCTATTATTCGAACGGTGGTATTTTTCGAGGTTCACATTGTGCGAATTCTTCACGCCTGCCAATCGCCGGCATAGTCCGATGGGATCCCTACGTGCCGCGCGGTGCTCCGGCCGTTGATCTGCAACAGGAAACCGTGTTGCCGCGGGGATGCACCGATTATGCCGCCGAGAAGGGGAGAGAGAGAGAGAGAGAAAGAGAGAGAGAGAGCGAAGGGGTGGGAAGGCAGATCGTTCTTTCAGGATGCTCGTCCGGGCGGGAGATATTAGATGTTTTGGAAACATAACGCGGAAGGGTGCGCCGGAAAGTTACTCTCCTTGTCCTCGCGAGAGTTCCTTCGCTCTGGCCGATAATCATACGCGCGAACGGAGTTCCAAGTGAGACGAGACCATCTGGCTCTTCGTCGAGGAGGCACCATGCTCTCTTGAGCTATGATCTCTCGTTGTTCTGTCTCTCAGGACGGAAGCGATACATTAAATGGAGATACATATGTTAAAAAAAGGAAGAGAGGGGCAAGAAGGAACGAATTTTTTACGCTATATCTTACATTAGACTAACATATTATATATATTGTTGGCGTTGTTGCTATATATTGCAATGTGTTAAAAATCACTTCCCAAAAATATGGAGATTCAAAGCATGACAAATTTATTTGAGAAGTGGTATTAGACATCTTATAGATCCAGCCTGGACCGTATTTGGTGAATCTCTATATATTTAATTGTGTTATTCACATTTATTATTAGATTCATATCAATTCTCGAGCCTTTCGGGTTGAAAAAGAAACGCCGAATGCGTACAAGGTGATACTTTCTCAAAAACGGTATTTAAGCCTTTTACCTTTCCGAAGGGCGCGGGACGCAGGAAATTTCTATTTAATTGTGTTATTTACATTTATTATTGGGTTATTTATATCGATTCTCGAGCTTTCACAATGAAAAGGAAACGCCGAGTGCGTACAAAATGATACTTTCTCGGAACGGTAGTTAGCCTTTTATCTTTCCGAAGGGCGCGGGACGCAGGACTACCGACGTTGAAGTGTCACGTGGAGGAGCCGGTAGGAACGTATCAAGTCGCGCGGACGTTATCTCGGCTCGATCGGGGTCGAGGGGGGGAGGGTTCGGATATCCCAACCCCTTCTTCGAAGGAGAGCCGGTAACGAGTCGGCCGCCCCTTCAGTCTTCCTTCTTTTCCATTCCAATCAGCTTGAAAAGCGGAGGAACCCCTCAGCCTCCCCACGGCTCGTGGGATCTATGGTCCACTGGCCTCGATCTCTCTCGCGCGCGCGCGCGCAAGCGGACCCCCGGTCGGACCCCGCTAAAGTATCATGTATCGCATGGCCGCAAAAAAAGTCGGCGCATTCATACACAGATCAAAACTCGCAAGGTGTCCTCTATCTTTCTCTCTCACGTACCGTGCGAGAAGTGGCTCTTTCTCTTTTCGGGATCGTTGCGAAATGCTCGCTAGGCGTGCTCGCCTCTCGAGTTGAGCATAAATCGTCGGTCGGTCGTTTTGATGATACACTTTGGGATAGTTTTGAATGGATTAACACAGATAAGCCGTACCCTTGAAGATATTTCCATGAAGAGACGCTGTACCTTAATTCCTTTGTTGGCGCGCCGAATGCTGTGTTCGCGTCGGCAGGTTGAAACGCCCGTGGCAAATTTTAAGTGTCCAAAATTACTGTAGAAAATCGAAAACCTCCGAAAGTTCAAGATAAATATGATTTCTCCGAATTTGTCTGCGTACTGCGTAATCCAGCAGACTACATCAAATTACTCTCTAAATTTTCTGGAGTGAATCTCACTCCAAAAGAGTGAAATCTCACTCCAAAAGAGCGAAAATACTGTCACTCGGCCACTTGAGTGGCAGTATTTTCACTCCTCAGAGTGAAATTTCACTCCAAAAAATTTAGAGAGATACATGTAACGTATACCTGTCAGTCGTAATTTCCCACTCAACAATACATCTATAATATAACACATATGTTATAAGTAGTTAGAGATGTAAATAGAAAAAAAAACAAATTTTTTTTTTCATAAAATACGCTTTTTTAAGAGAAAAACATAAGCCTCGTTTTTCTCCTCAAAATTTTGTTTTTTTTCAGCTATCTATTTAATATCTATATTTTGCTTAATATATAAATTAATTTTTTATGATTTTTTATTTTATAGATAGTATATTTAAATTATCATCATTTTAACCTTTACGCAGAACGAAAAAACCAATATATTGATTCTGAAACATATTTTGAAGCAAGGACTTCAATGAATAATTATAATAAATTCAACTTAAAGAAAAGGTGTTTAGAAAAAGAATTAAAAATATTTTTTTTGTAAAAATTAAATGTAGATTACATTAAAATTAATTCTATAATTATATAATTACTTTTTACAATTAATTAGTCGTGCTATCGGAATTAGAAAAAAAACCAAATTTGTATTTTTTCAATGAAATAAAACACGATTTTAAAAATGTTTTTTTATATTAGAAAAAAATTTTTCTAGCGATGGATTCTCATGGAAAGAAGTTTGAATCTTTTCGGATTTTCGTCGATACGCATCGAGATCAATATCTCTCTCTCGTTGCATTATGAAAGGAAGAAGACATTGGGATCGCGCGCGCGCGCGCGCGTTGGCAACGGTCGCGCAAACAATATCTTCTACGCACAAATCGATCGGGTCGCGATACCGATCGCGTGGTCGATCGCGCCTCTCCCTCGGTTCTCTCAATGTATCGCCGGCCGTAGATAAAAGACTGTCGCGATACGCCCGTGAAAAGAAAGAGAGGGTCGCCGTCTTTTGTATTATACTTATGCCACACGGTACTGCTTGATGAAAAAAAAAAAGAAGAAGAAGAAGAAGGAACGAACTTATGCCACGTCCTGGTGGATACCTGGCGCATTGTGCGCCAACCGCAACGCTCCCTGACACCTTGGTGTCCCCTTTGTTTCGTGGATGATTTCACTCGTGTGGGACACCTCCGTGCGATAAGCAGCCGGACAATGGTCGGTCTCCCGTCCACGGAAGAGACAGTATCGCAATCTCATCTCGCGCGCCGGCCGGGGATCGCCCCGTTGCGGATTAATGAAATAAAAGGAAGATGCAGAGCTCCGCGCAGAGACCATCCCGTTGCTCGTTTGTCCGATCTCGCGCGCGATTTTCTCGGCTATTTGTCGACTCGAACTTTGTTGCGTCTTTTTGAAACGCGTAACCACGCACGTCATTCAGTTTGTAACTCGAGACGTGAATGTCTGTCTTCTCACTCACTGGTTTCGAAAATTCTCGGGGGGCTAAAGTTTACTACACATCGCTCGCAGAGAATTCAGTTATGTAAATTGTCAAGAACTGTAAAAATACCTATTTATTGCATATGCCTTAATACATGTCGTCCTACAATAAGAATTAATTAATGTCTATATTATAGATTTGGAATTCGGAAGTATGTGACATATATCGCGTGTGATCACACTTTAAGAGATATATCTAACTCTACATACATATAATGATAATAATGATCGAATAAAAGATAATTAGAATGTGCTATTCACAATATTAATCTATTTAAGAATTAAATTCTTTCGTCTTAAACTTAAGGATTTTGAGGAAACCGGCTGTATGAATTAAAATTGTATGTCCGTCCTGTATACATATAGTCTTTCTTCTTTAAGACTGTACAAATGTAACTACAAATTGATAGAATTGATTGGAAATTAAATGTATGAGCGGAAAAAAGGAGGGTGACAAAATCCGTTTCGCGGGAATCCATGTTAAAAAAATATATATAATTATACCTATATATTTAATTATAATATATATGAGTCCTAAAATTAATTTTTTGTCAAGAAAGCGTTTCAGGAGCAGTATGAAAATCATTATTGCTTTCAAAAACTTTTAATACTTTCAAATACGTTTAATTTTTTCACCTTAACGCGAAAAGTACAATTTTAGTTCAAATTGTACTAGATACAAGCAAATTTTTAATATGAACAAAAGCAACTTAGAAGAGATTTCCCATCCTCTTGCACGGTCGGCATACGTTAAGTCAGACAGAAGCTTCGGCGTGAGCAAAAAATATTGGGAGCTGCCTGGCCTTCCTGTCATTTTGATTTTGACGAGTAAATCGTACGCTCGTCTTCCGTTCACTGCGTCCATACTCTGATTAATTTCATTCACACGGCGAAATGGCACGCATGACAATTCTTGCAATGATATCGTATATAAATGGCAGTAGTCACCGTTCTTTCGCCATCATACATGATACGGATATATAGAAACACGTGCTTATATAATACCTAATGACGGCGGAGCGACTTAAAGTGACTTATCATAGCTCAAATGAATCAGACCTACTATTCAGAAAGATATTACTATTAAGAAGAACATTCTTGTTGGTTCAATTTCGGCCGTTTCTTCTGATTTTTCCATTCAACACATTCTTTGATAATAGGAAACGTCTTAGCTGCTATCTTTGCCATCTTCGTCATCTCGTGGATTCTTTTACATCCTCGTAACTACATGTATGTATAAAATATAGTTATACATATGTTTATATATTTTTTTGCGTTATAAAGTTCTCTTTTTAAGCTTTAAACTTTAACATTTGTAAATCACAAGCAATAATTTAAGGTTAAAAAATAAAACAGAATATTAAAGTTTTAACAATAAGATTGCAAAAGCATATAATATGGATGAAAGCAGCTAGCTACTTTTTTACATTTTAACATTTCTATTCTTGTTCGTGCATAACACGTTAAAACGCTGAATGTTATAATTCAGTTTTTATAACATTGGCGAGATAAATTCCTCCTTGGGAAATTCTTGTGGATTCTGTTACCAGCTGAACGCACTGAAAAGGATACCTGTCGAAAATCAATAAAGCGTTCTTTTTGAATGTGTATACAAGTGAAAACGCGAGTGTAGCGGAGAAAGAAAAGGGTTGAACTCGGTGTAATTGATACGAAACCGTTGAAGCGGAGGGAAACGCTATAGGGAACAGAAACTTCACACAGGATATTTCGCGACTTCCCTTCCTTCCCTGCAGATTGCCTGCCACTTCAGTTAACTAACGGAACGTGTTCTACTGTTATGTTCGCAGAGATTACTGATATGTTCACACACAATTCTTTTAGTTTATTATGTTTTATTATGTTTTTCTTTCGATTATTATACTGTTAGAGTTTTATGCTAAGTAAATATATTTTATTCGGTTAAAATTAATCAATATTTATTGAGATATTGCGCTTTATTTAATAATATTTAATTTAATTATCACAAATATAATTGATAAGATATAATACTTTTTAGAATATCAATAATAGTAATTTTTTATTTAATTTAGATTACCCACATGCGTATGCAAATAATTTAGTTTTTTGAAGAAATTTTGACACATACAGTATATTATATTATATTCCATTTAAACAACGTCACACAAATAATGCATTAATTATTGAATGAAATAATAAATAATTATGTAAATTTTTTTCGGATTTTTGTTGCAACAGTATCGATGATCTTTTAATTTTGAACTTATTTAATTCGGCAAAAAGTTATAAATTTCATAAATTTTATTTTCAACTGATAATAAGATATACAGTAATACAAATTTTCAAAATAATTTTTTTTCTTAAAACTTAACTTTTCAAAATGAAATCATGTCATTTTTCTTAGACAATACGATGCACATAAACGTGTTAAAAGTAAAATTATAAAAATATTAATAGTTTACGAGATATTTTGTATTTTATTTTGACGTAGTTCAGTACGCAGTGCGAGGCATTTCATAAAATTTATTTATTTTTTTTTACATTGAGCTAATCCGAATAATTTGAGGTAAATGGCCGGATAATTCCAGATAATCTGGTTGCGATAGAACAATCCTGTGACTAAAACAGAAATTGTGAACTATGTTAAAGTAGGGCAGGTAAACTACTCCATTCATAAATCTTGGTCGATACTTGGTCGATAGTGGCAATGGTGGCAGAGTAGTATGTGAAAGAAAAGAAAGAAGCGAAGCGAGAGAAGAAAGACCGGTTGAGGGTGGGTTCTATACTATTCTCTACGGGGTGCCAAGAATTCTTAGAATGGTCTTTATATTTCCTTTGCTCCAGACAGCAAGCGAAAGGGAGATTCCCGTCTTGGACAGACAGATTGGCACCAAAACATTTCGTAGGGCGTCCACATTTTCTTGGGTCTTATCGCAAGTAAACCTGTGGACTCTTATGATACCATCTTTTCAAATCGCTTAATTATCCAATTATAGAACAAATACAACAAAACAGGTTTCTTCTTCTGATTTTTGCGTGTTCGATAATTACCGATGGAACAATATTACAATTTTTTAATTAGTATTACGTCTGTGTTTATTTAATTGAGCAATTTGAACTGATTCTTAATGTCTTCATGCTGCGCTGTAATCTTTTTGATAGCAAACATATTTCTTTTAGATCTTTTATCGACAGTAGTAAGAATATTAAAAAAAAAAATTATTTCTAATGGTAGCGCAAGCGCTTTTAATGATTTACGAATAACGATTTTATCGATAAAAAACTGCGTATCAATATCGGAAGCGAAACAATCATATTGGCTATTTTAAAACTGCTATAAAGAATTTATGTTTTATTTTTTATTATTGTTTATACTCTGCGATTTTATCTGTATCCGTTAATACATTTTATATCTAAAAAGTGTGATATACGTTATTTTACGCGATCAAGCGTGACGAATCGCTTTTTTTTACGTTGGAGAACATATAGTTATTACACCCATAAAATGTTTATGGTTTATTCAACTATGTACATTCATTCTACATATAAAACTTGTCATTATCTTTACTACGACTCTGAGTGTGTCTACTACAAGACAAAGGCATACAGAAACATCACTCGAGCCTTTGTTTATCATTTTAGCCTTCTTATTCATCCAATGTTGAGAATAAAATACACCGGATAGACGGACACTCGGGTCTGTATGATTTGGGTTTTCTAAATCGACTTTTGTTCTTCTTTTTCCCTTTTTACTCCGGGATACACATCCGGGGTAAACGTACGGCAATATTACAAAGGACAGGTGCACACGTAACACATCTGGAGGATTCACCAGAGAAACCATCAATTTTGCAAACATAATAATACGGACCGAAACACGTCTAAATACTTACAGGTCGCGTACTATTCTAAATCGATCGGTCAACTCGAGAGAAGCAAACACGAAAAGATCATCAAGAGTAATGATGTACCTTTTGAATACCTTTAAGCAAACACGAAAATATCACTGGAGACAATGTTATACCTGTTAAATACGTTTAAACGATTGTGGAATACCTTTCAATTCAAAGGAGGTTTTTGCCTACGCAATGTTTACTCCAAATAAATGTATATATATATACCTGGCATTTAAAAAATTTCGCTTTTTTTCCACAGGGGAAAATGCCCCGGCTGATTTTGACCGAAATCGATCGTTCCTTCACCGCCGCGCGCCGGCGAAATAGCTCCACGGGCGCGCCTGCGGACACCCATGGACACGTTTCGCGGTAACAATGGGTTAACGCGGGTCCAGTGCGGCGTGGCGCAAAACGCGGGTAGGTAATGTAATTACGGCCGAGCGCGACGTGCGCGCGCGGAAGGCAGTCACCGCCATAATAGGCGATTGTCCACGGCGAATGGGCGCCACAATGGCGGGTCTCATTGCCGTTAACAACTGACTGTCCAAATACATCGCGGCGGGACAATGAGCGGGTCCGCTGTCCGGATCAGGTTCTCTTTATAAACGCGAACGTCGTATATCAATATCGCCCTTGCGAAAGCGCTTCCTTCCAGTTTTTCGATTCCCCTGTCGGCCCTGTCTCCTTACCTTCCCTCCCTCCCTCCTTCCCGCCTTCCCCACCACGTTCGGTTATCTTCCTTTAAGGATACAACCCCTTAACAAACCTTCTGGTTTGTATGAGGATTACGTTGATCTGCTGCAGGGATCTGTTTCGTCCACGCGCGACAGGTTCTGCCGCCAGCGAGCGCTAACTGCAGGAGGCCAAATAATTTATATCGGGTTTTGATAAATGCGGTTCTATACTGAGAGAGGGATAACATTCATTCTCCATTTCTCTGTCTCTTTCTTTCTGTTTTGTCTTTTTTACCGCTCGTAGAAATTTTCGAGTTTCAATGTGAATTTTAATCAGCAAAATAATATTTAGTTGAGATATTTGTAAAGGCACAGCAAAGATACTCAATTCCTTTTCTTAATACTTGCTCTCTATTAATATATTCGTTAATATTAGATTTTAAAAAAGAAAATTGATGATATGTATTTTTGCCACGCATTTATTTCTATATCCTTTTTCTTTGGTGGAAAAATAATTTCTTTTGAATACATTTTCAGATTACCAGTACGTGAACACAGTAAAAATTCATGTGTTATATTTACCGATATTATTGCCATTTTATTATAACATGCCGTTATCATACATAATTTGCTGTTTTATTTCCGTCGAATCATATGGAACTTTTGATGAGACTTGTTATTTAATATTTCGAAATTTTGCAATATTCTCGAAACTCTTGCATAATATTGTCAGCATAATAATAATTTGACGCGTTCCGCACCGCGAGTTTGAGAGATTCACGAAAATCCGCGGATAGACCCTCGAGAAGGAGAGCGGCGCTATTATGAGATCAAATTCGCGTAGAAACGCTTAGGCAAGTTGGCCCACGGAGTGGCTTCCCGAAAGTATTTATTCGGAGGGTTTTTCGCGGTGAGAGGAGAGAGAGAGAGAGAGAGAGAGAGAGAGAGAAAGAGAGCACCCAATATATAGCCCCGCCATTCGACGTTCAGTCGGGCGTTCAAAGTGGCATTCGGTTCGGAGAATGCGTGTTTCCACTATGCGAGACCGCGGAATCGTTTCCTGAGGGTTCATTGTCGGCGAATTTCCCCGGCGGCCATTGTGCCCCGAGATGTACGTTGCGGAAATGCCGCAGGTATACGTAAACTTGGACGCGAGAGAGTGAATTACCGCTTCAAGTCGCAGAGAAAAATTACCTTTACTCCGTTTATTTACAACGCTGCCAAATTATTTTCTTTTTCCTTATTAAATGTAATATCGTCGCGATTGAAAATACTGCAGTATTTAATCAGTGAAAGTACTGCAGTATTTAAGCAATTTATTTTGTCATCATTGATTTCCTTTAAATAACTTATATTCATGATTAAGATGTATTAATGTACATGTATTAATTAATTAATACGCTTTTCTTTGTATTTGTTACAACAACGACACAACTAAAAAAAAAAAAGTATTTCAGAAAATGAGTTTCAATTTTTTTGAATTATTAACATTTTGTAATATCAATCTTAAAATACAATTTTAGTGTAATAACTGATTGCAGAAGAGTAAGAGTATGTTACTTTAAAGTATGTTCTCTTTTTTCTTTATATCTCTCTGTTCTTTTCAAAATCGATTAGAAAATGATAATTTTGGAGTTACGTTGTTGTCGCAAATAAACGCGATATGTACTAGGAAAATTATATTTTCTAATATTTTCGCTCAAATATTTACGCATTTTTGCAAATTTAAATCGCCAAAGATATCTATTTGTTAGCCCAATATCTCTTTTAACAATAAGGTATCGTTTTAAATGTGAGATATTCTGAAATTATCTCACATTCTAAAAGATATTTTAAAACATCTTAAATAAGTTATCTTGTTGTTAGAATGAGACACAAGCTAAAAATGTTTTGAAGGATTTCTCGAATGTCCAAGAGACGTTCTCGTATACTTATAGCTCGATGATGCAAATCTCGCGGTACACCCTGTATTGTTTTGGCAGGCAGCGAAAGTCATTACGGCGAGAGGATCCGCTCGTGAACTCACTCGGGCTGACGTTTATGAGCGATCTCCGCGAAATTAATGTCTGGACTGTGAGTTCGAGAGGATCGCTGCACACGGATAGCGGCCGAGACTCGATTGGACTAGTTCGAGCGGCATATGAATGATCGCGCGGTCGCCCCATGCTCGTGCCTATATAG